AATTTTAATTGTTTCCGAACCTCCGGTAAACCCAAAAATAATTAAAAATAATTAAAACTAATTAAAAATTTTTTATTTGCAAACCTCCGGGAAAAATAATTCAGAATAGTTATAATCAAAATAAGGAAAAATAACTAAAATTCTTAAAATATTTAGAATTTTTAATTGTTTCCGAACCTCCGGTAAACCCAAAATAACTAAAAATATTTAAAATAACTACAAATAAATAAAACAAATAAAAATAAAAAATAAAACAAAATATTAATTGTTTCCAAACCTCCGGTAAACCCAACATATTTAAAAATAAATTCGGAAAAGTAAAACAAATAAAAGACTAAAAATGTGATTTAGTTAATGTTTGCAATTTGTGAAATGTATACGGCTGTATACGCTGAGCTATATTTTCTTTTTTGTTTGAGAAACGGTCCACGACACATAGTACCAGTTTTTCTATCATACCCCCCCCCCCCCCCCCCCCCCCTGGATTTGTTTTTTCAATACCGACCCCCCCCTCTAAATTCAATTCTCTCCTGGAGAACGTTTTCGTGAGCCTCTCATGATTTCAGGATAGTTGAAACCCTCTTGAACATTCAGAAAGAGTGCATATGAAATTCTAATCACGAAAGGTGTTCCCCGAGGGGATACATACCTAGAGTTTGTTTTGTGAAGCACGTCAATTCTCTCCTGGGGAACGTCTTCGTGAGCCTCTTATGGTTTCAGGATAGTTCAAATCCTATGATGCTCCGATTCAATGCTCACCGATGATCTGAGCCATGGGGCAAGTTTGTTTTCCTAAGAATCTTTTTGAACATTTCGAGAGCATATGTTTGAACATTTAGAGTGCGTGTGAAATTATATTTACGAAAGGTCGCCTCCGAGGGGATAAATCACCATGTCGAACATTGCATTTTTGTTCCTGCCTCTCGCGTTCTTTTCTCTTCCCGCTGTCCTACCTTTCGTGTCTCCCTCCTCTCAAGTTATGTTTCCAGGTCCCAAAGCTAGTAACTGAAATGCCGCGACATGCATTGGTTTCGGTGGACACCAAAATCATGTTTGGTGGCTCCTGTCTGGCAAATGGCTTTTCATCCAAGCCCGTTTTTGAAGAAATATAAGCTCATGCATATATAGATCATCCTAGATTGGGGCTATGTAACTCAGTGGTGTTTTTCATGAACTCCTACTGGACCGAACATCGGCGCCAGGACTTCCCCATTGCCTTGGTCCAAGCTTCGCTGGAGCCCAGCCAGTTGGAAAAAGCAGTCTTGTACTACCGATCCCTGCCACAGGCTCGGCATCCACGGTGTCCGGACGACCGGGATTTTCCACCGCGGTGTCCGGACCGGTGGACTTCTGGACGAGGAAAGTCTCCACGGAACGTCTCCACGGAGTATATAGATTATATACATTATGGTGGGTCGGTAGGCGGGTGAACATCAAGAAAACACATAGATGTGACTGATTTTGTTCTTCATCCGTGAGGAGGAGCAACACCTCCAGGGCTCGGCTTGCACAATCTGCGTGGCTTTCAGTTATATGTGTTTTGAGGGGTTTTTGTTTGGAGCGAAGACGCTCCGCTCCGACCATCGGGCTGTTCTGGTGCGATGTGTTGGACGTGAGAAGCTGGTCGGAGACCGGTCCCGACCATTCGGATCGGAGACAATGGCCCATTCCGAGAAGAAGTGAGTAAGGTGAATGAATGGGATGATGGCTTTGTGATGGCCACCGTATACTCACTTATGTCCATGGTCGGATCACCAGCTTTTTGTCTTTTTGTGTGTGTGGCTTTTATTGCGGGATGGAGGTGTGGAAGTGGGAGGACCTTCCGCGCTTTTGCGGTCTAAGTCTGTAGCGTAATCTCCGAGGGTCACAGGGTGGTCTTGATGGGAGGTGGCAACTAAAGGGCCGCGATTCCAGCCTTGGTTTGGAGTTCAGGGAGCCTACTTATAGATCCATAGCACCTAGTATAGCACCTATGCCTACAGGTGCTATGGACATGGATCTCTAATTTGCAACAATTTGCTGGTCCACATTTCCGCATTCAGTGCCGCTTCTACTACGCCAGGCTCAGTCGCGAGAATACCATTGCCTGGTGAATTTGGCGTGCTGTTTGATGGCCTTAAACCAGCCCAGACAAGCCAAGAATCTTTTGGAGCAGCCTCGGATGTTTAGAGAAGGTTCTTGTTGCATTTGCGCCTCCTAACTATTCTTATTGATGGTTAATACGCTAGGTTTTTTGGTTCTTCAGATCTTGTGGAGAAGGTATTGGAACCGGTAACCTGGAGGTGCCCAGATCCGTCAAAAAGAAGTCCTTTCGTCGGCAGAAGCAGACCGACGCCAGCCAGCGGGGCAGACCAATTTGCCACCCCTTTGGTGAAAATCCATCCCATGAAGTTCACCATGTTGAGGATCAACTTCGTTCCCACAAACCCAAGCTATAACCCTGAGAAATGGTGTCCTTGCAAAGATATTGTAAAGATCCCTTTCCCCTAGCCTTCCAAGAGCATGAAAGAATATGGCTGAGCTGTTCTTGTAGTCTTAGAATTTCCGTAAAGCAGTGCTTAATTGGTGGTTCTTTGGTAGGTTGACCCTTCACGCCAGTTTCACCCTTGGAATCCGCACAAAAGGCAGCAGGTGTTTTGCTGGTCTCCAAGTGACCGGGTCACCCTCCGCCAAGGCAAGCCACGATCCTGAAACCCTCAAAAGCATCAGCTCAGCTCAACTTGATCGCCTGCTCCCTGGCCCTGATCGGCCCAGAAAGCATTTGATTGGTCTTTGTCTCATGGATTTGTGAAGTCCCAGCCTAGAGGGCTCCAACCATATCCTCAGAAGGTGGTTGCACTGCTCCAAACCCACCCCAACCGTTTTCTCAGGAGGTAGTTGGAGCCCACACCCATATTTGGCTTTGTTTTTTCAACAGATTTGGAGCTGGTCAGTGGTTTGAGCCACTGTGGAAGTGCAGTGCATCTCCCCTGTTTGAAAAGGACAATCTTGTTCCAAGGGGCCATGTTCCACTTCTGTGAAAATTTCAGGGAGTGTATTTTGTGCACGGGTCACTCATATATATGTAGCTTGGGGCAGAACTATCCAGCTGTATGCCATTTCCAGCTGTGTTGGGATATACACAATCGATTCTCACCTTGCTTCCAGTTGCCGAGAAGCGCACTTCCAATGGGAGAGATGAGACCAACAAATGGTGATGGCTTTGTGAGTTGGAACTGCAATTCGATGGGGGAAAGACATTTGTGGGACACCTGTGGGTGACTTTAGCTTTAGACTCTGTAGAGATAGTTTGTTTCCCACGCTGCGTGGAGTTCGATACTTGCTCACGTGTGCCACCATGCGTATTGTTGGTTTTTCCGGTTCGGGGTCTCACCCTGTTTGTGCAATCCTCCAACTGATTTGAGCAGAAAGCAATAACGAGAAGCTTGTTATTCTGTTCAGCTCTTTGTGTATGTCACGACTCATGACTCATGATCTGCAGGAATTCCTCCATTCAGCATCCCTGTTTGTTCCGCGTTCCGCTGAGTGATTTGCCAAACTCATCGACTTGGCGCCACTCACCAGACCGGTTCCGTCTGTAGACGGCCCGAGCTACCGCGGTCAGAAGACCGCCAAAGGACCCATCAAACACGAACAATGCACGGAAGAGTGACCTTCTGTGGGGGTCAGACACGAAGGTTTCATGCATGCTGCGATGATGTAACTGTTCCATCCCTCCGATTTGGAACACGAATCACCAGCAAAAAAAACGAGGCTATTTACAGACACCGGACACCATGGATGGTTTGGGAATCCGATCCGCAGCCCTCCGCAGGTTGCCTTCGGATCCGGCATCGCTCCTCTGCGCTGAGTGGGATCGACCAAGCCCTGCGGAATGCGGAGGACCTCACCGCTGAGCATCATCGATTGCTGCTGTGCCTCGGTCGATGTCGACGAAGCACGGGGCGGCGCCGGGAACCGCGAAACCGACCGTGTTCCGATGCGGTCCGCAAAAGAGCGTCTGCTGGGCCGGCCTTTTTGGCCCAATCTTTCCAGGTCAAAGGGGTCTTTCAGAGATACAGATGGTGGATCTATTTCCCCACCTGTCAGGTGAGGGTTGCTAGGTTTTATGTCAGCTCCCGTCCTCCTCCTCCGCCTTGTCCTCCTCCGGACCTCAACCGCAAGTGCAGGATGGCAGTGTTCCCCGCCGGACCTCAACCCCTGTGCAAGGTCCCAAGATGCCAAGGTTGACAACGTGTTGACAAGTCTGTGGGTCGGGGCGTTTTGTGGTGTCCGGACCACGTATAGAGGAAACCTCTCAGAGTCACTGTTGGCAATTCTCAGGTGCCTTGCAGGTCATTGGTCCCATGTTCCTTTGGTGAAGGGTATGGCCCCCTCTTTCCTCAGTTGAAATCCAGGAGGGCTGACAAATCTGGCGACGTACGCGTATATCAAGCAGAATGAGTTCGGAGCAAAGGCTTCAACAGTTTGTTCTACCTTTGCTCAACGGCAAAGCAACCCTTGGAGCTCACTGGCCTTCGAGCCCTTTAGACAGATTTTTTGGGCCTCAGCAATGTATCCATTCAATTGGACCCTCCTTTACTTGTTTTATTCAACGGACTTCTGGACGCAGATGAATCTTCAGCCACTTGCAACGATATACCAAGTGGGGTATACAAACGTACTACCAACACTTGAGTTCAATTGGGCACACCGCTGCGCCTCGGCGAGTCTCGTGCGAGACCGACTCGCGACTCGAGGTGGACTCGCAGGGAACTGCTGGCGCTGCTTTCGAAGGACCCCGGCACCGCACGTCCAGAAGGACGGTCCGGGCGGAAGGAGGTCAAGGTGGAGACCACGCGCACGCGAAAGGCCGCCAGATATCAGGTCTTCACTCGTTTCTGGGCTTCTAAGAGCGGCTCGCGGAAGCACCGTTCTGACGCATCAAACTGGGTGGGTGAACATGCATGAAACCCCTGCCAAGAGGTTTTGTTGGTATATGCAGTGCCCCTGCCTCACCTGCCTTACCAGGTGACGACGACTTGGCTTCCTTTTCCATGTAATTCTGTTGTTGAGATTTGTTGGCCGGGTAATCTATGGCCAAAAAACAGTGTTGCTTCAATCCTAAGGGTCACAATTTGTTTTTGCCTAACACTGACTTTGTGTGTTTTTTTGTGTTTTTTATTTTAAAAGCTGTTGTTGCTTTTGTTTCCTTGAGCAATTTGTTCAAACACTCCATGTACGGAATAGTTACCTACCTCGCGGTCAGAAAGGAGGCATAATGTATGCAACCATTATGCATCTATTCCATGCCAGGACCTTCTCAAGTCCGGTGGATTTGGAACACTTCGAATCACCGAAAGGAAACGCCGATGGACCGGTGGACCGGGTCGACCGGCCGGCACATGGATGGTCATGGAGGTTGAATTCCGGATTAGCATGGCATCCTGGCGAGGGGGGGTTGGTTTCAATTCAATGTTCCGAACCTGGAAGTCCCTGGAAGTCTTTGGAAGACCCTTTGTTCCATGGGTGGTTCTTCCCTGGATGTCAAAGTCCCCGAATTTTACCGGGTTTGGGGTGGGCATCCCATATAGCATCCCTTATGTCGTTTTTTTTGGGAGTCCTCGGCGTGGTTTCAGTTCGTCTTCACGAGGTTTGGAGGCCTGGCAAATGCGGAAGGACCTCCTGGCCTTGCGCAGCGGGCCCTCCATGGAGGAGGGTCAGGAGCTGAAACCCCCCTGGCGGCGCCGGCATATCTACAGCGACTGGGCGTGGTGGTGATTTGAGGGAAAGGGTCTCGGTTGTGACGCGTTTTTTTGTCTCGAATGTGACGCGGAGAGCTTTTCTCAGTTGTGACGCGGAGAGCTTTTCTTTTAGAGAATCTGTGTGCTTCTGGGCCCTTGCTTGGTTCTCATAAAGTCATAAAGCTCCAATCCAGCTCCACACCAATTCCACCAAATGCCACTCTAAACTCTGAAGCCCAACAACCTAATGTCCCACCCTACCCCACCCCCCCACCCAACCTAATGCCCCACCCCACCCCACCCCAACCTAATGTCCCACCCAACCTAATGCTTGCAATCATATGTGTCGCGAATGAGAGAGATTTGGTGTCGTACATGAGAGGAATACAGGGGGGTGGTGGTGTCGCAAATGAGTCAGATTTGGTGTCGCAAATGAGTCCCTTGCCTGATTTGAGTCTTCCCAGGTCAGATCCCAGTTATCAGAATCGTGTTGTAAGGAACTAGGACTTCTAAGGTTTGTAGATGTTTGTCGTTTTAGTGTTTGGAACCACTGTTTACACACTTTAGGTAACTGGAATTGTTGGGGGGGTAAACTTGCACCGATGAAGCGTATACGAAAGCTCTGACCACCGCGAGCCAACCAGGTGAGGATTCGGAGCAGGCCATCTACAGCTTCTTGGGTGGAGCACCGGTCCAGCCCCTGCGGTTTGGGTGTTTGGTGGTTTGCGCGGCGCCCTGAGGTTGGGGGTCCGGGTGGTATGCTCGGTTCTTCTGGGCTTTGAAAAAATGGGTGTGAAAAGAATGAATGAGCTAAGAGACAGTCACCATGCGAGGTCTGCACTTCAGGGCCTGAAGAAAAATGGGCGAGTTCAGTGAGCCAGCGGATGCCCCCCACACTTTGGTCGCATGAAGTGTGAGCAGGTGACCAGGTGAGCTGCTGAGCCCCCAAACGGGTCATAGACGACTGCAGAAAAACACACACACACACCACGCTGAGGCCGGAAGGCACGTTGGCAGCCCTTGAGTCCAGACGCCATGGAGCTTCTTCGAGAAGCTTGCAAGAAGTTGTGCAAGTGCGGCAAGGCGCGGAAACACCGGAACAGGAAGCACCGGTGTGTTCCGCGGTGTTCCTCTGTTTTTACGAAGCCGAGAAATCAACATGTGTATACAATATAATCTATAGTGTATAACACACACACATATATATAATACACAGATCCTGAAGTCACTAGAAAAAGAGAGAGAGAGAGCACCAACGCAATATTCTTAGTTTGCATTTCATTGCATGTTCCATGTATATATATAACATATAAATAGATTATAGTACGTTTACACATATACAATATATATATATATACATATTGTGTGCACTCCAGGCCCAAATTCATGGCCCTTAATGCACACATGATGTTATGAAATATGTTTTGACGTGTTTGCCAATCTGAGGACCCACTTCCTATATAATATATATAATAGATTTTGTGTTATATATAGTCTTGAGGACACATTTACTAGTCATGATACATTAGGGCCTTAACGATCAGTGTTTTTCCTGAAAGACCCATGGAGTGACCATCCAGTCTCAGTGACCACGTGGAACTGCTGAAACGAGTTTATTTGATTCATAGATGAGACTGGCTCCACATGGAACTGCCCCCACATGGAACTGCTCCAGATGTGAAACACTCCGAAGAAATCGTCGCCGTCTCACCCCCTTTCGACAGGACGATGGAGCCCTCAGCGACGATTCCGACATCCCAGAGGACACGGACACGTCCTCGGAGGAGGAGGTGAAGGAGGTGCAGGGTAGTAAGGCCGCACAGCACCGCGGCAAGACGAGGTCCTCCACCGCCACCCACGCATGAGCCCATGGGTGCCCTAACATCCCTTCGGAGCGAGTGTTTTGGGGTTGATCAGTGAGATTCGATCGATGTGTGAGGGATCGATTTGACTGTGCAATAGTTGTTTGTTTGGTAAGTGAGTTACAGTATGGTATGCCACATGATTGCAAGAAAGGTCCAACTTCCGAAGTCACGAAAAAAACTGTATATAGCCAGGGTTTGCAAAGGTGTTTGATAGGGCAATGGCCCATGTGGACGCCTAGCAAACCACTCCAACTGAAAACGCCTGACGCCTGTTTTCTCAGCATTTGTGTGCGCAATCGTCCAATAGGTAGTGGAAAATGGACCCCTAGAAGACTCAGACTGTTGTCCTTTGGCGAGGAGTCTCCACTTCCATGTTAGTAAGTCAGAATGCATATATGATTGGTCTTTGGACATTTCTTTGTACTGTATGCTGCGTGCCTTCGCTTGGGTGCTGTTTAGCTTTGTGGTCATTTGGACAACTGAGGCAAGCTTACGAGTGCATAAAGCCTTTGCCATGCATGCAAGCACTGGCAAGTGACAAAGCCATTGCTCTAATTCAAGCAGGGGAACTGGTGGACTATGACGCTGACACTCAGATCTTTGAAGAAGGTGATCCTGCACTTCATGTCTACATCATTGTGAGGGGGTCTGTGTCGATTCGGGTCATGATGCCGGAGCTTGGAAACGATCCCATTCCTGTCCAGTCGCTTTATGACGGGCAAGTCTTTGGAGATGCAAAGATTGCTGCTTGGAAAGATGCGAACGCCCCACCTCCAAAGAGGAAGCTTGCCGCAAGCTTGCTTAGCCCTACTGATTTTGTACCCCAAGGGCCATGAAATGGCTCAAAATCAATGTTTGAGGTGCAAAGCTGTGGCTATTACGGGTTCAGTGAGCCTTGAGGTAGGCTGTTGGTCGTATGTAGCACACCCCCATGACTGCAGCACCTGGAAAAAAGAAACGATGCAGCCGCCAACACCGAGGAAGGGTGGAGCCAGAACTCAAGAAGACACCTGCATGTTGCGCATTCCAGCTCCAGCATATCGTCACGCCCTGGGCTTGGATACCAAGACCAACGGGCCAAATCAAACTGGGGGGAACACCGAAGGCAATGACGAGGAGGAAGGAGCCTTGCTGCCAGAGGTTCGACGAAAGGTTCAGGCTTTGTTGAAGTCACCGCTGTTTCAAGGGGCTGCCGCGAGCACCTTGGTGCTGCTGGCGACCAACCTTCAGGAGCGACCGGAACATGTTGAAAGGTAAAAGCACAACACACTAAAGTACAAAAATATGTTCTTTGCCGCTCTTCGATACACACCAACCCTACGTGAAAGAAAGCCATGAGGGTGGGTTTGTGTGTGTAGCAGACCTACCCTTTTTGGGTCACATGATGTTTGGAGTGTTGGACATGTGACATGTGCTTTGAAGAGCAACACCCGTCAAGATCAGTGGCTTGAGGTGTGACGAGGTCAGGTCACAGGTCTCCAGTGCATGTATAAATACCGTGGTGGTGGTAATGATGGTAGTTGAGGTGGTGTTGATGGTGGTGATGATGGTGGATGGCGGTGGTGATGGTGGTGACACTGGTGGTGATGATGGTGGTGGTTGTGAAGGTGGTGTTGATGGTGATGGTGGTGACGGTGACAGTGACGGTGGTGATGGTGGTGATGGTGATGGTGGTGGAGATGACGGCGGTGATTGTGGCGGTGATGGTGGTGGTGGTGATGGTGTTGATGGCGGTGATGATGGTGGTGATGGGGATGGTCCTGAGAGTGATGGTGGTTTCACAAACTAGGTTTTGGAATTGAAGGTCTGGGTCCAGATCTGGAGAAAGATGTCTAGAGATCTAGGGCTGGAGGTCTAGAGAACACACATGGGAGGACATGTATATTTGTTCCAAACGTTTTCTCCCAGTGGAAAAAACATGCATTAGCCGCTTTCTGTGCAGAATGTCCTGGCTGCACAGAAACATCCAGCCGCTCCAGCCGGCGGCTTGGGCCGGCCGGCCAGAGTCCCCGAACTTGTTGAGGACCTTTTGAAAAAGACTTATCCCAGCAAGGGACCCCAAACAGTGTGTGTGTGTGTCCTGCTCCGTATCCAGGAGTTTGTTTTACCAGAAAGAAGCAGGGGCGTGTGGCCCTCTTGTCCTGAGCACACGCAATGAAGCTGTGGACAGGAGGGGGAAACGGAGTCTGATCAGGCACTGATCGCAAGTTGTGACTCCAATGTTCCTCCGGTTTGCTTTCATGGTGGTTCACGCTATACCCCAAAACGGGTTTCCTTCATGCTAGTTCGATCGGCTACGTATTCAGTAACTAGAACCCGCAGTTGCGCAATTGAAACCACTTTGTTCAAACACCTGCCGTTCCCTCGCTCCTTTCCACGTGGAACAGAGTTAACTGAAAACCCTATGACTAAGTGTGTGTGCCGCTGTGTCGTCCCACTTGGGTGCACAGTGTGATCCCCCGCAAGGGGGTGGTGGTGGTGGTGGTGATGGTGGTGATGGTGGTGATGATGATGCTGATGGTGGTGGTGGTGGTGGTGATTGGTGGTGATTGGTGGTGATGGTGATGGGTGGTGATGGTGGTCAATAGGATTCAAGCTGGGAAAGGTCCACAAAGTATTGCGCCTGCCACGAAATCTGCACTTCAAGGCGGTCCACAAAGTAGGAACGAAATCTGCACTTCACTTCAAGGCCCACAAAGTACTGCGCCTGCCACGATTTCTGAAAACGAGCCCATGTTCAAAAGTCACGATTCACTTCACCTGTCACGAAATCAGAGCATGTCGAGATTACCACCATGTCCAAAGCGCTGCGCTTTGCCACGAAATCTACACATCGAAATAGAACCGCTCCGATCCCTTGCACCTGTCATGAAAAGTCGACTTTGGACCACCAAAACACGAGGTTTCCCTTGGCTGCAACACGGCACCACAACGAGGGCGCAGTCGTGACGAGCACCCGCCGCGCCCCACCAGATTTTGCGAGCATGCGCAGTCGAAATGCATTTCGAGGATTCCGAGAGGCATGAAGGCATTGCACATATAGCAACGAAATGAAATAGCCAAACGCCCCGATGCAACACCTCGATGCAATACCGGCCCTTAACTCCTACCGCAAGAACCCCTAGTGCTGCCACACTGCTTAGGGAAAAAGTTATACACACTGGAAGACTAACATGGACCCTGAAAACCACTGAGTAGAGGAAAACACTCTTCCAGGGGGCCATTGTCAGGGTCTATGTTAGTTTTCGGGAGTGTATGTGACATGTGCCGTCCGGACCTTGCAATGATTGGCCCTGGACACCCGAAAAAACCGCAGCTGTTGAACGAACCGCCGCAGATGCTTGGACGCAAACGCAAAAGGGGCCCGAAATTTCGTTGTTTCGGTGTGTTGGTTCGACCAAGGAAACATGTGGCCAGTCGCAAAATGGTAAGATGGCAACTTTGCAACTATTGCAACTATTAGGTCAGGGCAGCTAGACTTGGGTTCATATGCAAATTGCAATGAGAGGGTTGATGTGCTCGACGGCGATCCCTCTATTTTTGATTACTTTTGCATTTTCAGGAGGTGTCTTTGCGGCACGACGATGTCTTCATGGAGATTGATCAGGCCTTACAGGCGTGCTTTCTCATCTCTCAAGGCTATGTGCCTTGGGCGGTTTGCCAACCACGCCGAGCCAGCAGGGTTTCAAGTTTCAGGGGTTGAACATCTTCCAATAGGCGGGTCTACCACGCTGCGTGGTGCTTCTGGCTGAGATCAGCCGGCATGCCCCACCAACAATAATGCCCTCCCATGTCAATGTGGTGTGGTTAGGTTATGTTGGGTTGGGGCCATTCTGGGTGAGGAGAAGGTAACACTTGGAAATTGTTTGGCAAACCTGGGCCTTCCGCGTGTCTCAGGTGCGTGTCTCAGTGCCCGCAGTGGATTTGGAGGCCAACCTGGGTCCCGCCTACGACGATGCCTCTCGAATCCTCGGCTCTGGACGACTCCCCCACCATGGCCCCGCGCTGGGCGTGACCTCGTGGAAGAAAAAAAAGCGAGAGAAGAAGAGCGGTTCAGATCTGTTAAGTCGCTTCAACTTATCCAAAGGCGCGGCCTGTTCCGCTTTTGGACGAGCGTCGTTTGCGGCAACATCTTGGGTTCTTGTCGAAAACGCGTGCCGAACAGGGACGGTTTTTTGGATGCGTTCGGGCGGGCTTCCTGGGGGCCTCCCCGTTCTTCCGTTCCGTCGCTACGACGGGGCGACACGGTCTCGATCCGGTACGACTTGACCCGACAGCACCTGCATAATGTCGAACACATCACCGTACCTGATTCAGGTAGAACTGGATCATCTTGGATCCCTATATGTGCCTATATGGGATGTTTGTGTTTGTTCGTTTCTTTTATTTGGTTCCTCGCAACCAATCGGCCAATCCGTGCCACAGGCGAAGTGCCAGTGTTTCAACTGGGCATGCGGCCATTATTGATGCCGACGGACTCCGTCTCCTCCAGCGCCACTCCCCGACCCTCGCGTCTCATCACGCGGTTGCCGGGCAATCCGCGACGAGGAAGTGCCTGGCACCAATCCTTGCGGGGCACGCAAATGGTGCCATATTTAGGTGGAACTCCCAGTGATATTGAGCTGTGTTTCTTACATGCTGGGCAGGCCTTTGGACTGCAGACTCTGTTGGATAAACAGGACTGCTCCTACGTATCCAGCTGCGAAGCGACTCGGAGCGGAGGACGTCGACTCGGACGAGGTGGTGGGTCGGGCGTTGTTTCGTCGTTTCGTCGGGTTCCGAGCAAAACGGTCTGTTGGGGCAATGGCTGACTAAGCCGCAAGCTTCAAGGAATGACTGACCATCAAGCTTCCACCATGAAAAGAATTGTTCAATTGGCTTTGTAGTCTCAAATCAGCTGTGGTTCTTTAGGAGAGCCATAAACCACGTAAAACAATGTTGTTGGAATCCCAGGGCATGGTTTTGAGCCACTCACTTGGGAAGACTTGAGCTATTGGATTCGGGCCAACACATATCCTATCATATCCTTTTTAAGTCTGTGGATTCAGCAAGCCTACTGTGGTATAGTCATGTGTAAGTGTAAGTATAACCCCAAGATATCCCAAGGTCTTGTATGTCAAGGTGGAAATGGTGAAAGGAGCTTGTGCAACCGCAGCCTCGGATTGGGCCTTCACATGGTCTTACAAGTTTGGGTTGCACTGTTGCACCATTTGCCTGTCCTGGCCATGAAGTAAGGTTCGTGTTCAGAGCAGCGAGGCAAAAATATTGGTTTTGACTCCAGCAAGTCTTTTGTACCTGAATGAGTCGCTGGCACAGAGCTTGAAGGATAAAGTCGGGAGTATGGACGATCCGGTGCGACCCTCCTTGCAGAGCATCAAGAGGGAGAGGCTGAATCGATCACACTGGGCAGTTCGAAAGCAAAAGGTCTTCTATCAGGTGGTGATGCAGGAGGACTGAGTCAGACACAGACTTCGACTTTCTGCAGGAGAAGATGTGCGACAAAACTCAGTCCCCTAGTTTGGCAGCACCAGCTGTTTGCCTTGCTTTTGACGTGGATATGTGGGTGTAAATTTTGTGTGGGGATCAAGACAGGAAGCCATAAAAGCATTGGGAGACGTGTCAGCTGTTTGTTGTCCAGATGGGATTTTTCGCTGCAGCCCACTGCCATGTTAATGACTTGGAGGGCGTCAAACAGCAAACATTGCTGCTTCGCTCCTCAAGAAGAAGAGATGGGCACATGCCGAAAAAAGGCAAGCAACAAAGAAGTGTGAAAAAGCAAGCAACAAGTTAGGTCCCCCATCTACCGTAAAGCCATGCAAAACACGATCATGCCCTAGGGCTCCACATATATCCTCAGAAGGTGGTTAGACCCCCAAACCCACCCACCCCAATGACCTTCTCAGGAGGTGGGCCAGGAGCCCTAGGAATGTACCATCTCAAAATCTGTTTGGGAGCAGCCTGTCAGGCTTTGAGATGACATGGCGTTCCGCCCGCCGTCCGCCAGCGCGCGCCGACGGGTTCACGCCGAACGGCCCTCAGGTCATGAGTCCCGAACGGCAAGAGGCAGAACAGATGGCCGACGACGCTGAGCTGCCGAGCCGTCCAAGCTGGGAGTTGACCATTGTGTGATGTTCCCCCGGTGCACCGGTAGATCGTCACGATCCGTTTTGGGTCGCATGGGCGACGCTGGGGAAGGGAGGTTTCGGTTCAAGGGATGTTGGGCCCTGGAGGTTCATGGTCATGTGATGTAGTGAGGTTGATTTGATTCATAAAAATCATAACCCCCCCAACATGGATTGCAACACCTGTTGAACACCTGGGAACAGGCAGGCCGTATGTCGCCGTAGCCGCCCCGACCTCAACCAGCCTCCGACGTTGAGGAGCTCATTGACGGCTCGGAGATCATCCGCTGCGGCACAGGCCGGGTGGCCGTTGTGACCAGCCGGGTCGCCGTCGTGGCCGGTGAAGAAGTGGTCGAAGCCATGCGACGAAGCCATGCGATGTAGTCCACACCAAGAAGAGTACAAGGAACCATGGGAGGGAGAGAGAGAGAAAGAAAAAAGAGAGGGCGGGAGAATATATATCATGTCAAGTGTAAAAGGATCATGTAAAAGGTAGGCTCCTCAAAACTGTAAAGACAGCTCCTTTGAACGGTGGAGTTTCTGGAAGTGCTCGGAGCCCTTGTAAATCGATAGATCTGAGGTTTCAACGGTTGAGTCGGTTCTTTCCCTCCCGGCAATCAGTCACTTCAGGCGTCGCGGAAGAAACGCCCTTGCCATGTGTCGCCGTGTGCGGCGTTGGCACGCTCGACGCGTGGGCAAGATTGGTGGGCAGATCTCGGGTTGGCTCGAAGAGGCAGAGTACTTGGCATCCAAGGTTTGCTTGATATTCCATGGCCCATGGCTTTTGTTTGATTTGGTTAATCTAATTAATCAGGGGTGACGGGGTGACCCTGACAGATCTAAATGGATTTTACTTGGGTGGATTGGGCCTGAGAACTTAGCAACCATCCGACAACCTCACATGCAACATCTAGCCAACTGGTGATCAGACCAAGCGTATGCCATGGCTTTAAGGCCAAGCCTGAAAGAAGGGTACAAATAGGTACTGCACACTCCGTGGCGTTGCCTAGAGCCTGGGGACAATTCCGAGCTTCGCACATCACCTCGGCCCGAGGAGGGGATGAGGGGCCGGAACCATCCATCTTCCATCGATTTCGGGAGCTTTGTCGTACCCCCACGCACCGATGGCCCATGCTGTTCTCCCAGCGGCCCGTGGCGTAAACCGCCGGGTCGACCGAGTCCGACCGAGCGCACGCTGCAGCATACGCATGGCGTGGGGAATGGTTCACTGGTATTTAAAGACCAGCCCAGACCATCCATGTATGGAATCGTTGCATTCACCCCCATGTTTGACCGTGTGAATCATTGGCCATCCATTTTGGCGATCCTCACACCAGACCAGAACGGAAGATCGCTCTAAGATCGCTCTCGTTTCAGATTGCCAGCTCCGTCATAGATGTCCTCTCCAAAGCAGGTACCATTCGTGATCTAGTTGCTGTTGGAGTAGAGGGAATCCATGATGTTCTCCAAGGGATTGATTTTGATATCACAAACATCATCAAACATCCATGCTAACCTGCCAAAACTACTTCAACAGTGGAAACCAATGTTTTTCTGAAGCCGGTGAAGACCCCCGAACACCTCACAGCTGTGGACCAACCTGTGGCCGCGGAAGACCTCGCGGGGGACTCGTGGGCTCAATTCCTCCACCGGCGCCGGCGTTTGAGGAGGAGGAGTCCGTGGGGGCTGCGGTACATCAAGAATTCCAAGTTTTCAAAGGTGGGCCAGCCAGTGAGCTATGGTGCGAACCCTTAAATGGATGGCTTGGCTTGAGGGATTACCACCCTCCAGTACTGAGTAGAATGTGTTACTCCCGATTTTGGCAGCATGCTGTAGCTCAGGGTGTGGCTTCAGAGTGCCCAGAGATCCGCTATGTTGGGCCTTTTTGGTGCATAAAAGCATGTGTTTGCAAGGTCTTGCCAGGTCCCTAGGACGGCTCGCGCCAAGAAAGGCCCCTTCAACCGATCATACATGGTTGTACCCCAAATTTGCGAGTTGTACATGCACGTCTATATACACAGGTGGACATACACCCACCTTTTTGGTTTGCGCACAACATCCTGGAAAGCAAAATAAGACATATTGCCCAGCAGCCCATAGAACAAAGAGTGTGTGTTGCTTTTGAACAGAAACAGCCCTGCCCAGTGGATCTATATGATAGGTAACCGGCAACCAGAGGTTCCATAGAGACCAGAATTGTAGACCGAACGAAACACTGGGGCTGTGCAAGGCAGCACATTCAATTTTCTCACGACAGCTAACACATCACATTCCGGGACACTCCATGGGACTGGCATATTGGTATACATTGGGGTGGTTGACCCCTGGGTCCATGTATCGATACACGGCGTGTTTGAGTATGGTTACGTGGTTTGGGTATTGCTCCGAGTTCGGAAGCCTATTTGTCCTTGGAGCCTACCCAGGAAAAGTGGATGAGCATGGATAGCCTTGTTGTTTTTTTCTCGGATGGGTTGGTTTCCCCACTAAATATCAACAGATGGAAGCTTCGGTTAACCTTTTTGTTTGAAGGGGTTTCTGGCTCGGGAGTCAGTGAGCTCCGAGTGTACAGAGGTCATACCTCTCTCAAGTCGATCGCCGTCCCGGGTCTGGTGGGCATCGCCACCAATGGTTTTAACGCGTGGAAGAAGATGTCGGTATTTGGCCATAACAGGAAAGTCCGGGCTTGATCATTTATTTGGCCATATTTGGCCACAGCAGACTCGACTTGTGGAACATATACTGTACAAAAAAAATATTTTTACACATCTCGTGTTTGCCTCGAAGGATATAGCTGTATGGCTTTTTGACCTGGTATGCATCAAGTTGCAAGATGGGTCAAGAGAGATCCAAAGCCATCCGCACAGGTTAAGGTTCATGTTTAGCCTGAAGGTGCCAATGGTGTAGTTTCTCTTTGGAGACCACCCCCAAAACATGCCAACAACAACTACTAGTTATTATCAAACATATATCAGTAAATCTAAGTCAGATTTCTTGTTACCCTGCTTGAAACCACCCCCCCCCCACTCCTCCTTCCTGGGCCTACCGAAAAACGCATGAAAGAACGCATCCTTCCACCCTCTTCCCGTGCGGGTTCGCTCCGCCGGAGGTGATGGCCCTGAGGCGCCGGTGTGGTTCGACCTGCTGGGCGTGGTCCAGCGCAGCTGGGAGGACCTGGACCAGGCGATGGCCAGGCGAGGGGTGGACGGTGCGAGGGGTGGCTGCAGGTGGATGGGAGGAGAACAAGAAAAGTCACAGCGAAAAACCTACGGGACGAAGCGTGAGTTGTATTCTTTTTGGGGGGAACGGTATTAGAGGCTGTATGAGGAAGAGTCAGAAAGAAGAGGAGAGGAAAGCTTTTCAACCATAGGGGGACAAATTGTGAGGACAGCTTGATAAACTGGTGAAAAACCGGAGGATGTGCAAAATGTACTATAGAGTGTTTAGGGTTATATCCAGGTTCTATCTGCTGGTACCTCGTGGTAAGACGGTTTGAGTCGAGGGATGTGTAATGACAGGTACATATTACAAATACTGTATATATATATATTATATATATTTATATATATTCATATATGCATGTAATTATACATCATTATATCCAGACAATCCATATATGGATATGGAGCATTAATAACAACATTGGGGTGATTTGAAGGGTCAATGTAGGTAAATATTCCGTGCCGATAAAGAACACCCAGTCTAGACCATCGACCATTGCTGGGAAGGGGGTGGATCTACTGTTGGTACCTCCCGTCTTCTAGCAATCCTAAGAAGCAGAACTTAGGGATTCCAGGGCTCTACCTGGGGTACTACCCTGCAGATTAACATGGAACCTGAAGACCACTGGGTTCTAGAGGAAATGATCGAACTGCCGGGGTCGATTCAATTCTCCGGTTCCATGTTTCTTCGGAAAGGGTTCCACGTTTCACAGCTGCTCCAGCGAAACAACCACAGATGGGGAAAAGCATCCACCAACAACTGTCCTCGATCCGCCAACTTTTGTGCACGACATCTCACAACCCTTGTGAGCAGAGTCTACCAGATCCGTTCACACAGCAAAAATGCTTTACCATCTTCCTCAGGGTCCAGTCTTCCATTTTGATGACTTCCAGGTGAGCAATACCCAAAACCTCCCTTGACATAGAGTCATAGAGGAGCCAAATCATTCGTCGACTGGCCGGAGCTCAGGTGGGGTAGTTCACGGAAGTCAACACGGAAGTGCTGGGAATTCACCACAGAACCCGTTCCCTTCCCAGCTCCGTGCGCTCCTCTCGGCGCTCCGCAGATGCCGCACCATGGTGGTGTGTCCACCGTTAGGGCTGAGCGATCGCCGCAAGGCCGCAAGGGCTGAGCGAACGCAGGACGTGGACGGGAGAGGCCACGGATGTATCAGTGTGTTGGATTGTGCTTTCATGTGCTGACTTCATGTGCTGTGTTCAATGCCTATATCACCGTGCTGACGGCCGCTTTCATGTGCTGATCACTGTGTTCATTGGAATCTTCACCATGCGCGACCTCAAGATGGTTTGACTGGAATCCATTGAAAGCCCCAACGGTGACTGCAATTTTGGCCCAACCGGTGGCTACCGTATACTTTCTTCTATTTGGCTGTGAATCACAACCCGGAGCCCCAAACCAGGGTAGGTTGACCTCTAGGCTCTATTCTGTTCACGCGCTGACGAGTCAAATCCCTGGGGTGACACGTCTTGTCCACGACACGCTGATCGTTGAACAACAAGTTGCACAAATTAGGGCAGCTACAAGAGATGATCAAAAGTGAAGGTCCAAGAATCAGCGAACCTTCCAGCACCCTCCGCAAGGATGCGACAAAAAGCCAGGAGCTCATTCTGAGCAAAGAACGGAAGAGCGCCAACAATGGCTCCCTGTGGAAGAACTCGCCCAATGCATTTGGTAGCACGGTAGGGACCCCAGGGAGAGCAAAAGGCGTCCTCTGGATTGTGACAATGCACTTCCGAAGTTGCAGCACAAGATCTTGGAAATGAGGAGGTCGTTGACGGAGGCGAAACCCTCTTTTGTAAAACAGAAAAGCAAGTTCTTGGTAAGTGCACAAAACTCCCTCTCGAACTTTCCAATGGAGCGATTGGAAAAAGGCCAACACAGTGTGCCAATCATCGATCCCAAAAAGCACTTTCGGTGGAGGAGGTTCCAGAGGGAAATTGAGTGTGAGGTTGAAATCACTGACATCCGTCTCCCATGCTAAGCCGGGAAAACACTTCCGAGGGTCTTGAAGTTCCTGTTGCTTTGTCGACCGTGGTTCGAAATGAAAATCATCCAAACATTCAGCGCCAATATGCTTGTTGAGGAGCGTGAGGACCTCTTGTTGATGCAAAATAGCAGAATGAAAGAATTGTTTGTCACCTGGTGCTATCGCACATCGTGCGAGGGCCTGCTGCTTGGCAATTCTGCCAGCTTGACGATTGAGTTCAATATGTTTGCGCGAAGTACCAAGCTGTGCTATTCGGTCAGCTGAAACCATCGAAACAGGTATGTGGTCATCAACATGTGCCGGGATCCAAACCATCCTGATAACATCATTGCAGCTGTGAGGGCTCCGGAAGTTAATGAGTCGCAGAAGAAACTGCCACCACTCCAAGTGCACATAGTTCCCTGGTATAAGGCGGTTCTCAACAAGAGCGTTCACTTTAGTGACAACTTCACGACAATCACTGTAGATACACAGGCAGCAATTTGCCCTGGTAGCTGCAACAACAACTGCCCAAAGTTCTGCAGAATACGAGGACAAGGACAAGTGGGAAACAGGCCCGGCAGCGAATGTGGTACCGTCTTCCTGTATAACGGCAAACCCAGCTGCAGTGAGCGGAAAACATTCGCCCCAGAAAACAGAGCCATCAGTCCATAGAGAAAGAATATCGTCAGGGTGGTCGAAATCACACGGTACAAGGTCAGCTGCACGATCAATACGCAAACGATGCCAGATTATTGGCCAAGGGTGCTCAATAATGCCAAGTTGCTGGAAGTTGGAGCCAAACTCATGTGGAGGTCCAAATTGAAAATGTCTGTGGGCATCCGAGCAGCCCAAAATGTGCACCAAAGACTCCTTCTCATGTAAGCAGAAACGACAAGAACTGGTGTCTGAGTAGTTGGCTGCAAAGCGGCGATCATTGGTAATAGTACAGCCAACCTGCTGAGCTTCGAAGAAAGAGAGCAAAGGCGGACCATGAGCTGTCTGCGCAGCAGCCTGTCTACCATAGAGCTTGGTGTGAAAAACATCGATGAACCCTTCCGGCTTGAAGAAATCTTTACGATTGAGATTTGCTGGATGCGAATAATGTACCTGCACTGCAAAATGTTTGAGAACAGGAGTGATGTCACGTACAGAGATCTCACGCAAAGAAATCTTTGTGTCTTCCCCGAAGCCAATACACAATGAGTCATCAAGACAGAGGCCAAAGGTGGCAAACGCATTCTGCACATTCTCAACCAGGGTGTGTCTGCCTGCCTTAGGAAGACGTGCAAGACGACAGCAGCGATCAAAGGCATCACACTCGTGTTGGAGAAAACGGACAAAGTCTAAGATGGCACAAAAGGAACGGGCTACAAAAGGGTCATTCCTGTGAGGCTGCGTAAGCAGACCTAAAACAAGGTGTTTGGCTCTCCAGTGCGGTCGTTGACCCCAGAGCGCTTGCGTGATTTCGGCTTGGATCTTGTCGAGGGTTGCCTTAGGGATTTTGGTTATATGGGCGGCAAAGGAGCACTGTGGGATGACCTTGGACCCAATAAGCTGACATTTAACAGAACGTGGGAGTGGCAGGGCTCCAATGTTGCGAATATCACCACAGATCTTCTGAGCCTTTTCATCAGCAAAGTCAAAAGCAATACGCTGCGAGGTGTAAATCTTTGTACCCAAAACATCAAAGGTCTCCTGAATTAAAAACCCAGGGAACTCAGCTTTGGCAATCTTCCGGGCAGGACCATTGGAAGCCCAGACAACAGATTTATCTTGATTAAGCTTCTGACCGACCAAGGAATCCCAAAGCTTAGTGACTTCAAGGGCAAGCCGAAGTTGAGCAACAAACTGGATTTTTGCCCAAAGGTAGATGTCATCAATATAGATGCGGCAAGACAGATGAGGAACATCACGGAGGAAGGCAACCCACGATCTCATGTAGGCGTTAATGGCTATCAATGAGAAAGAACATCCCTGAGCAACTCCGTTCGGAGCCGTGGTGGGTGTTCCAGAGGTCCACCCCCTATACGAAAGATGTTTACGGAGCCCGATGTATTGCCTAACAAAAATGCTGACGACAGCTTTGGAGCATCCAAGTGCCAGCAAGATGATAGCAACAAAGGCTGGAATAATGCGATCAAAACACTTACTCTTGTCGAGCTTGATCCCAACAATGGCTTCATCCGCAATGGCAGCTTCATCAAGCTCAAGTCTGAGTTTGGCAGGGATGGCAGTCATATGTCTGCCTGCAATTCCCCCCACGATCGACGGGGGCATGGTAGAAGCTTGCCAGTCCTTAGCTTGCCGAAAGCGTGAGCCCGTGTAGGCTAGCAGCAATGGTGGCAAGATGGTAATGAGCCGTTTATTCAGTGGGGATGAGGGTCCTGGTTTATTAAGGATCACAATCTTGGCTGTAGTTAAAGCAAGTGGGATCGAGTGATCAGCATTGGCTTCAAGTCTTCGGAAAAAGGCTGCAACAAGCTCACAGATTTCGAGGGGGAAAGCTTGGAGTTCGGTAGTTCTCCAGCCATCGAGCCCGGGGGCAGCATGAGCATTACGAGCCTTAAGGGTGGCAAAAATGTCAGCACCCGTGATTGGCGGAGGGTTCCAAGGATGATTCTCTCTCGAAAGATAAGGCCAAAGCACTTTGAGGACCTCGATGGGGTCGTCATGACCAATGTTGGCAGCAAAAATGCTATCCCATTGCTCGTTGATAGTGCACAGGGCATCATTTGGTTGATAAACGATATGCCCTTGTTGATCAATGACGAGGTTGTTGGGCTGATCTTGTGCTTTATTCTTGAGGTGGTGATAAATGTAAGCTCGCGTTGACTTGGCGGAAGCACGAATCTTGTCTTTCCAGGCATTGATGCGCTTGAACTTGAGGTCATGCTCACACTTCTCAATCTGACACTGGAGCCAGAGATGGCATTCATGCAGTGTGATTAACGACAATCGACACTGGGAGTGGAAACGAAAGGGGGCTCTCAGACGTGATAACAGTCTGTGCAACTTAATCCTTGCATTGTGCAAAATGTCACACTCCTTGTCCGAAAGGTGTGGTTTGGCGACTTTGGCTTGGATGTCAAAGACCTTGGCTCTAGCATTATGTAACCAGGAGAGGTGGAGAGTGGTGGCAGCACCCGAGGGCATTTAGCCCGGACAATATTGCTTGGATTGAAAAATCGGTGGGGCTGCACGCTTACGAACTCCACTAGCCCAGGTTGCACCTAAGGTGACCAATGCGGAAACCGCATGTTGGTTGATGTCAAACCAAAGTTCTTCAGGCACATGACTGTTAAATTGAGAGGTCAGGGCCGCATCCCACTTAGACTGTTGGCATTCATAATCTCCGGGGCATGATGGTTTCGCCACATGTGAGGTGTCAAGGGCAGCGAATTTAACATGGATGGGCCCAACCTGGAAAATGGGCTGCCAGTCAAAAGTGGCCCGGACAGGGCGGTGCTGCTTCTGGGACCAGTCAACAGTCTCAATGGTCTTTAGACAGTTGAAAGCGACTTGATTCATGAGGATGCCATCAATAGAAGAGCAGTGTTCCCCAAACGCGGTGAAAGCACAGTCACGGCTATAGGTGATGGGTCGGTCAGGGGACCCGTCCTCCAGGTAATTGGTAAGTGGGTCAAACCAATTGGCAAAGTGCACAGCAGAAGCCACCGAAGGGTATTGGAGCGGTGCCAATTGAAAATCACCAACAACCAGGACAGGAATGTCCCCAAATTGACTAGCAATCTGCAAAACATCGCGGAGGAGTTCGTCATTGAACTGAAGGATGTCATGAGACGCCGAGGCCCCCGATTTGCCATAAAAGTTGAAAATAAGGATCTTGAGCGAGGGGAGAATTTGATACCAGGTGGCTTGGACACGCTTGGAATGAAAAACCCCTTCAAAAAGACCAGAGCAATCATCCGAGTTATGGAAAGGGGTCGAAAGTTGAGAAGGGGCAATCATAGCAACACCACCATGTGACGTGGAACCTGAACCATCAGACCGGAAAAGTCCCGGGAGCAAGTCACCTAAGATAAGGTTCTTACCAAAGGCAGCGGCAGACCTGATTGCATTGCGAAAGTTATTACGCCCGATTCGGGTTTCTTGCAAACAGATGACATC